ACGAACCAATCATATATGGCTATAGAAAAAGTTTATGTTCATGTGATTTTGAAACCTGAACTTGAATTAGCTCTTTGATTTGATTAATGGTATAAATAAGGGTCCTGCTGCTGATTTATTGCGGAAATTAATCAGCCTTGATGTTTGAATTAATAAGTCTTGGTATTTGCTAACAGAACATCTGACATTCTCAGTAATGGCATGTTCGGCATGTTGTTCAGATCATATTGATTCAGATTTGATTAAGTTAGCAGAGGTTGTTTTGCATATCAAGATATTTAGTTAGTGGTACTGCATTTTATATAAAATACTGAGATAAATCACGATTTGTCTTACATATCGTCGATGTGTCTTGTACTTGCATATCTCTCTCATATTCTCTGGACTTAGACAGGAACCAGATGTGATGTTTAGAGTGAGGGGCTTGTATATCACTTTACGTGTAGTTCAAAATTTTCTATGATTAAGGTTCATTATTTACAAAAACGTCAAATATTTGTGTTTTTTAGGAAGGATCATTAATTGTCATTTGTGGTTAATTTTGATATGAACAACACTTATATGATATATCCTGTTTTTTCATGCACTGGATTCTTGCCAAACATTGCAACAGAATTTTCTAGGAAGACGGGAGTTATCATTTTGCCTTTGGAGTATGATTTCCTGATATGTGGTGAAAAAATAAACCAATGAACCTAAAACATTGAGTCCATATTTCCTCTAGAGACTAGTAGATGCAATAGATCCATTTTGTACCCTTTCAAATAATCTGATTTTGCTTCTTGATAGAAAACTTCATATTACCGAATGTACTAGGCTCGGATACCCGGTTTAACATTAATATACAGTGAGAATATATAATGAGGTATTGCTTGCCAAAATATGACGGTAACCAAAATACAACAACAATAGATCTCGTACATATGTAATTTTTCATCAAGACATCAGTTCACTAACCTCTAGATAACCATTCATTGTGGGATCCACAGTCTCTTCTCTCCCTTGGAGCTTTAGATGAAGAGAGATTGAAAAATCAGAATGAGCTTTAACTGTTTCTGATGATTTGACAGTTTTCATGCTACTAAAATCTTAATAATCTCAAATGATGCTTTCATAATCACAAGACTCAGAGACTCTCTTTAATAGGTCATTCAATAGTCATTCAATGATGATGACTTACTTATTTTGGATTTTACAGAAAGATTGAATGTGATTTGAATTCAGAATCCTTTCAGAGTGAGGTAAAATCTGGTATCTTCAGTAGCCTAGTATATTTTCTTGACCATTACCGAAATGAGATTACATTTGGTTTATTTTGTAAGAAGATAGTGGATGTAACCTCACTTGGTAATGCTCGGTTAATGCTCGTAATGTACTCGTGAATAATCTCCGAAGTTGATGGAAACATTTTGAAATACTGGCTGGTTTAAAGTTTGAAGTGTATGGGCTCTACAATTTAGACATTCACAACATTTTGGACTTTGAGACTTTGTTTAGGCTGGTGTTTAGAATCGATTGAGAAAAGAAATATGAACATTACTCCAATTTGGGCTTTTGAAATATAATGTGTGGTTTTATTATATGTGCGCAAGACCAGAACAGGAAGATGGTCTTGGTACTAGATAAGTTGTTCCTGTGTTCCTCATAAAGAAGGTTATGTCTCTAAATAAAATTGTTTTGTGCCAAGATGCTTTGCGACCTACAACTTGCCTATTTTGTAAGTCTTATTGAGTCTGTTTATGTTACTTTAATGTTCAGAATTAACTGTACTTATTCGCTCACATGGTGAGCTTTTGTATGTATAACGTTTAAGTCAATATACTTTTTTGTATGAAATTGGGTGTGTTATTCATACCAAAAGTAACCTAGCTTTTCATCGAACCGTCCTTCTTTTTCTTGGTATAACAGTTCTATATATAAGGGTGGCTTATTATTCTGTAAGAAAGGCTTATTATATTGTAAGGGCAGCTTATTTTAGAAGTCTAATAATGAAGTAAGCACACACCACAATGGAGGCAGATTATTACATTGGATGCCATCGATTTTTCTAGCTTCACATTCGATAAACACAATACTCCATGTTAAAAGGGTTAATCTTTCATGAATCATAGCTAAGAAATTGAGCACATAAACCTGATATATGTTCCCTGTTTTACACTCGTTGGCTAGTAGTGATTACCATGGGAAATATACCCTGTGCTACTAGGGCTTATCAGTTAAACCAAGGGCAAATAACAGCAGCTGATTATAGAACTGAGCCATTCAAATTGTACTGGCCATGTTTCAAACTGTAAACCGAAAAGTCAAAATTGTGAATCTGGTGTAAACATACATATTGGCTTATGTTATTTGTATAAAACACAAGAGAGCTGAGTTAGGCATAGCAAACATTCAAAATCTAGTGACTGTGGTACCTGTTATAAAACAGGGTTAAATTGCCTCATGACGAAGCGTTTTCTCAAAAATCGTCATGACCAAGAATTTTTGTGTAACATCCATGCGTGTGCCTGTGTAACATCCCTGCATTTGTTAGAACTAAGCAAATTATCAGAAAATCTAACATATTTTATGCATTGACTTAACATAATCAGAATGGACAACTATGTTTTCAGTTACAAGATGTTTACTCTCACTTCAAGACCCTGGACTATCTACTCTAACAACTTGTGTCACAATAACAAGGGCTTGTAGCTCGACTACAAGACGTTCAAATTTTCAATGATTTTCATATTTCTCTTGCCACATATGAACATTGTAAAATAGATGTGGCTAACCCACTTTTGATCCTTTAGAATGTATCTCATAGGAACTCTGTACTGGTACATCTGTATGTTGGTGAGGTATAGTGGCTCATCATTTGATAGTATCTAGTGGTTCACCACACTGAATGCCATAGTTTCATACCATAGGCTTCTTGTATAGGTGTAGCATGATTCTAACATGGTAAAATTGAATTTGACAATTCTTTACTCAATGTTTTTCTCAAATGGTTGCTTAAATGGCTTGCCTGATTTCCTGATTTTGAAATGTAAATACCTTTGAAATTTAAGATGAGCCTGATATCCAGTATCATTATAAAATGGAACCACCTAGGGCAGTCCATTCTGATCTATCAGAGCCCCTCTAAACCTAACACTGTCTATTCTAAAGGATGGTAAATACTGTGGATCCAACAATGGTAGTCTAGGATTCTTTTCTTTATTCTGTGGCTGGTAAAGGGAATGTCACACAGAGAAGGTTCAGCGTGAAGAGAGAGAATAGTCAATTCTTTTGTCCATGCTTACTGAATCTTCATACTCTGCTACTAATTATCAAGTTGCCATAGTAACTACTCCTTCTGATTGATATACATAAACTGACTGTCTTTGACATATTGTTATAAAAGACTAAGTCGCAAAGTTAAGTAAAACCAGCATAACAGATCGATCTATTTATACAGAAATCTTACAGAATCCCTTCATCGTGAAAAATGAAAAAATATAAAATATGAGATGTTTTTCTTGAGGCAGGTTTTAAGAAGCTTTATGATGTTTTCCTCATACTGATTGCTATATACGGTTATTGTAATGTATTGATCTTGTTCTCCAATGTTCTGTGATATATGGGGAAAATAAGGAAATAGCTATAAATTATCTATGAAAGCAAAAGAATTGCATTTCATCTCCATCCTCATTTTAGTTGAAAAGGATTATATGAATACAAGATTGTAACGGCCATAATTGGATTCTATCAGCCGCTGATGAAAAGAAAACGAATAAAGAAACCCCTTAGATTATATCGGCCATATTTACTGATTCTGAATTCATTTTTAGAACTGTCACAAAAATTCCATTTATTTGAGTTCGACATGTCGTGCAACACACAAGATGTGTTTACAAAAAGGGAAGTAGGATAAACCTGATTTTACCAGTTGGTGTTTTATTGATGACAGTTGACAACCAAACAAAAAAGTACAACCTCAAGATAAAGATCAAGATAAAGCTCATAGTATCAACTGAGTGTATCTAACAACAACTCATTGTACCAAATCAAAATCATTATTTACCATTGTAGTATCCACATTCTCCCTTGAAGAGCTCTCATATGAGACAAAGAGTTACTTTAAACCAGAATGATATTGACATGAACTCTCCCCCCCCCCCATTCTCCTACTTATCTACCATGTGCTGTATCTCATGGCCCAACTTGCATTTCTTTTTAAAGATAATGGTTTTGCCTAAAGGAGTTTTAATCAGTTAATACTTCCAGTTCAAGATATGACTACCCCTTTAAATAATGTGATTTTGCTTATTTAAAAGACAGCTTCACCTATACTACTATAATTCTAGGTTCTTGCCCTAGGGATAAGATTTGATCAACTGAAATCAACGGTTATGATTAGCTAAGTCCTTTTACTACTTCTAACTTCTATTTTTTGATATGAGTTAATAAACTTTGATTGACAAGTTGGTTTCTATGACGATTTCATGAACATGATGATTCTTAGAAGGGCAGGTGATATGAACACAAACTAATGAGAATATTGAGTTGTGATATAAGATTCTCTCATCATAATGGTGCTTATTTCCTGAAGAATGTATCTCTTGTTATAGCCAGGTGCAAAATACTGTTTATTTCTACTCAAAACCCAAAGTAAAGAAATTGTACATATTGCACAACTTGACTGGCAATTTGGCAGTAAAATATTTCTATATTTTGGCTAATGTTACTGATGAAATGCCACACTTGCTGAGCCATTCAATTTACATCAGATATTTCCAGAATCTTAGCTTGACTTTTACATCTATTATCATTTTTGCAGTAAATAATTTCTAATAAGACACATTGATAATATAATATAATATTGTTATTTTGAACATTAGTCTGAACTGTTGAAAATGGTATACAGACTTCAGGATTCTGTTTGTTTGATGTGTTGGCCCCTGATTTTCTCTTCCTCCTTCAACCAGATATAGCTGTGTGGTCGTAAAGAGTTAAATTTGAAATTGCCAATAATTGTAGTCTGAATATAAGAGGAGGGTCCTATTGAAGGCAAGAGGCTTTAGATATTCTCTGGTATATAGACACATAACAGTTAGCTGAAGATCCTTCTACAGTTTCTGCAACTATTACAGGTAGGCATGTTTTTACTTAGTGAGTAGCATGATGGGAGGGGGGTAGGGGTTGATTTAGGTACATGGTCGTTGTTGACACAATTTGGTATGTAGTTGGGTGAATGACATGATGTATGGATGGGTGGTACCTAGATTGAGTGAGGTTAGGCTAGTGAGGGGGGGGTGGGGTATTGTGAGGGGTTGAGAGCATAGGGGTGGTTGTAAGTAACTATAGTAATGACAACATGGGTACATTTAAACCCAAAGAATTATATGATTATGACGTGTTTGATGTGTTAATTTCGGGTTCTGTAATCTTATAATTTTACAATTGCGTCTTCGCAAGAAGTGGTAATATTGTAGTAAGTGACGTAAGTAGATTGAGCTGGTAGATTCTGTTGTATTTTCAGTTTCATAAATATCTGGCCATATGGCTTTATTCCTGTCTTTAGTGCCTCTCATGCCATCATCTTTGTAAACTGGCAAGGGAGGGAGTAGTGGCAATTTGGAAGAAGATATGGTGAAGATTCTCCCATATGTATTTGAAACTAACATCACGCTACATGAAATGATATAATATCGAGGAAAGTCCAGATTGGCAAGAGCTAGATATAGTCTGGTATCCTGTATAATGTATTATATTTGTAGAAGAACTTTTGTATAATGACAGGTATCAGTTTTTTAATGATCACTTTCATAGTCATGAAAACTCTTTATTCATTTAAAAAGGCCAATGGTCTGATGAGGCCCATTGAAGGCAGTATACTAGTATATAGAGCAATAGCTTCAAAATACATTCTGGTCATGGCAAGTTTCTGTTTCACCTGAAACATGCCCTGATATTACGAGGCATATTCATGATGTCAAAATACAGAAACAACGTAGGTGGTATCACTGGTATATGTCATTAAATGGCATCAAGATTCAATATCATATAAGCTTAAAAGAAATAACGGAGGAATTGAATCTAACTCACAACATCATAATTCATAATACGGAGAATAACGTAGGAGGTAAATAAAGGACATTGAACTTTATCTATTCACTTAGTTTCTTTGTATTCACTTATTTCTTTTGTGTAAGAGAGAATAAGGGAATGTAAGACATGCCTTGAGTGTTAGAGCCTGGTAATGACATGAAGCTCTCTTTTAGGAGGCAAAATCAGACCATTGTATAGCGTACACAAGACAGGGCCTTGATCCAAAATATGGGGTATGTAGAAAACAGGGCCTTAATTAAAGACTATGCAGGAAAAGAGGAAGAAATAGACTGAAATAGTTTAGTTGAGGTATTTCCTGTAGTTGCTCAAAATCATCAATGCCTGTAAGGTTTATAGGGCTAGATACAGTTTAGGGCTAGATACAGTTCATGGAATAATACAAGATATTGATGTTATAGTCGATTATAGCAGTGATAGCTAGCTTTCTTTAACACCAATATGTAGCATTTATATGCCTTGTATATTCCAATCAAGTAATGTTAGGTATTGTAGTGTTGTCTGGTGTTTCTCCTTTAGGAGATTATAGGATACTTGTTGATTGCTACATTGAAGAGACAGTTACACACACACACCATTTTGCATATTGCCATTTCAAAAAATCTTATCAACAAACATGGTCTTGTAGTGTTTATATGTACCTTGTCATCATTTTCATTGAGTTCTTAGTCTACTTAGTCTGAGCTATAGTCAGCAACTTCCATTTTGTGCTTTAGAATGGATGTTGAACTACATGTACCTGTGGTCAGTTTTGCCTCAGATATTAATATTCTTGGTGCATAAGCTTATTGCTATTAGCACCATACTGAGAGCAAGATTTTCTTTAGTCATTCACCTGTTGTTTTGACCAAAATGCCTTGTTTCCAGAACTAGGAATGGCTTACTTCATTTATGTTACATCTGCCAGGTGCCTTGCAAGATCTTCTTTTAGCCATTCACCTCTGATTAAAAATTATGTTGGACCATAGAGTCAGATTAGTCTAAATCTAAAATAGTGTTCTAAATAGAGATCGCCATTTTACAGCCAGGCTTAGCCTTGTAAGTAGATTAACTGACATACATTTTCCTAATGTAAATGTTGATATTTAGTTGATTAATTAGAAGCGATTGTTACGGTTCCTATATATAATACTAAATAAACAGATTTACTGTAACAGGCTTGTACGTGTATAATTGTAAGTTCTTTAGGTTCCCATGCATCTGGAAGGGAACAGATCTCACATAAGAATTAGATGAAAGGGGGCTTGGACATCATGAAAAACCATGACATTTCATTTCTTCTCAGCCCTGAGATGTTTCAGGTGAAACAGAAAGATGCTATGAGTATCAGAATGGGGCTTGGATAAATCAGATCTATCTGTAATAGAAACCACTTGTGACTAATAACAGAGGGGGGGGGGGCTGGTTATACAAGTACTGTATGTAGGATAGATATTAGAAAAAAGGGGGGGGGTTGTTACAGACACTTTAAGATGAAGGTTAAGAAGTGAATAAAGTGTTTGGAGTTGTTTGTTTATTTTAGATTTAAATTCAACATTTGCTGTGTTATATGGCCTGAATAAATACTGGTGTTTCTAGTTAACATATGTCATATAACACTACATTGTACATGTTTGGTTAGTTAAAGAAAAATGTCCTTCACCCTGTCAGTAACACTTATAACAAAAATGTGATAGTATTTAAAAAAAACAGTAATAGAATCTGTTCTTTTTAGCGATCTCTTGAATGTTAATTCTTAGGAATTTCTCTTATTTGAAGTTCATCTACCTCCCCTGATTCTAATTCTATTCTTATTCAAACCGTGTCATGTATAGAGAGGATGGGGAATTCAATAAAATGGTATTTCTAAAGTTCACTATATCTAGAGTTGATGAAAGTATACCATATGTGTTATTGTTAGTCTACGTTGGTTTAAAGGGTTAACATATGAAGGTTAAAAGTACTAAGTTATCTATTGGCGCTTTGCCAACGGTCTACTTCCAATTTTACCATCCCATCAATTTAACTCGCCCTGTACAAAATAAGCCATCTTTCGTAAATGTTTATTTTTACTATTTTCCTATATGTTTTGTTTTAAAAAATCAGGAAATTATAAAGAAGGTAGCAGGCTTTTTTCTTAAGATAACCATATTGTGTATTACGTTCTGTTAAAGTAGGCTTGGACTGTTAAATGTCAGTATTAAATAAATATGTATTCTTTGGGTGGCAGGAAAAACACTGCAACCTTGTTGAAGATAGCCAGATGGACATGGCAGAATTTCAAAATATCTATGAAAAACTAATAACTCCACATTAGCAATAACAACTAGTACTCGGGGTGGAAAATTTTCTAAGAGGCTCCGTTAAAGAAAAAATGACTTTTTGAGCTGGATGGAATTTCTTTGTATTTTTTATTCTATTAGGGTGTCCTGCATAAGGGATTTCGCCTGCGAAGCATATAACTCTTGCGAACATATCTAAATACTGTTCCGAAGAAGACATACCTTGAATATTTTAGAAAAGAATTGGCTAAAAATGGAAACTACAAAAAGTCAAAATGTTCAACTGAAACAAACTTGTAGCTATTCTATATCAATATTATGTGTTATGTAAGGTTTCTCAGATGTTTCAGGACCTTCATTAGTGTACTTGTGTCTAGAAATGTGACATTTAAGGACAAAATTTGGCATTTTTTAATCATTTTCGCTTTCAGCATTAACATACAGTTCCTTATATCTTGAGTTTAATGCTGACTGGTTGTTGCATTTTTGATTAAATCTATGCTTGTACATGTGTTCTTCCATTTAAGGTATAGAAAATGTATAGTGGACAACCAATGTTCATATGAGAGCGTTCAGATCTCCCCTACCCCATTTATTATACAAAATTACCCAAAAATATGAAAAAATAAAATAACTTGACATCATAAACTTTAACAAAGTTGTAGCTATTCCATATCAATATCATGTGTTATTTAATGTTTTAAGATATTTCAGAACCTTTATTGGTATACAAGTGGCTAGAAATGAGACATTTAAGGACAAAACTTTGCATTTTTTTTATCATTTTCGCTTTCAGCAGTAATATATAGTTCCTCATATCTTGAGTTTTATGCTGTCTGATTGTTTTATTTTCAATCAAATCTGTTCTTGTGCATGTCTTCTTCCATTTAAGGTATAGAAAACGTATAGTGGACAAACAATGTTCATATTAGAGCTTTCAGATATCCCCTACCCCATCTATTATGGAAAATAAACGAGAAATATGAAAATGTAAAATAACTTAAAATTATAAACTTTAATAAAGTTGTAGCTGTTCTATATCAATATTATGTGTTATTTAATGTTTTTAAGATTTTTAAAAACCTTTATTGGTATTCAAGTGACTAGAAATGAGACATTTAAGGACAAAACTTGGCATTTTTTAATCAATGCTGCTTTCAGCAATAACATATAAATCCTTATATCTTGAGTTTTATGCTGACTGGTTGATGCATTTTTGATTAAATCTGTTCTTGTACATGTCTTCTTCCATTTTAGGTATTGATAATGTATAGTGGACAAACAATGTTCATATTTGAGCTTTCAGATCTCCCCTACCCCATTTATTAGGGAAGATGACCAAAAATATAAAAAATAACTTCAAATTACCAGTATAAACTTTAACAAAGATGTAGCCATTCCTTATGTGTTATTGAATGGTATAATTAATGTTTCAGGACCTTCATTAATATATTAGTGTCTAGAAATTAGACATTTAAGAACAAAATTTGGCATTTTTCATCAATTTTTCATCATTTCCACGTTTAGCAATAACATTACTGTATTTCCTTTTATCTTGAGTTTTATGCTGATTGGTTGATGGATTCTTGAACAAATCTGTTCTTTTGCCTGCCTACTTTGATTAAAGGTATTTAAACACGTGAGGACATCCTGACATGATATGAGAGCTTACATATCTCCCCTAACCCATTTTGAAAAAATATTACCATCAATACTATCAATACTATCAATACTACTCTATGTATTATTTGATATTTTCAGATGTTTCAGGAACTTCATGAGTATACAAGTCAAAAAATTAGACATTTAAAGTTGAGTTGCAAATGGGGCGGGTATTCTCTATCTTTGTCTATTTGGGCTTTCTGGTAATAATACGTTGCAAACTGTTCATGAATCTATGCAATGTGTAAGAACACTTGGAATATATTTAAATGTAGTGGGGTATAGTAGTGTGATAATTATAACCAGTGATCAAGCCATATTGGTTGAATATCCTTGATGCGAGTAGAAATAATCTTGATTTACGTCATTAAAAAAAATTCACAATTCAGCCAAACTGGTGTCATATTTGGAATCTTCATATAAAATTACATCTAAAAGTGTGGTTTTGAAAAGAGTTGATCAACTTTGGTCGGGGAGATTCCCCATAGACCCCATGTTGTAAAACTACAAAAAGTGAAATATCTTCTCTTGTGTTGGGCAGATAATATTTTCTTTAACTGGACTTATTAATTTGTATAACTATCACATACATAAGGGTAATTTGAAAAGTGAACCACTAAAACTGATGCATATTCAAGTTTAAGGGAATTTTGTAATACCCTGCCATGTTATTTCCCCCGAATCAGCCACTGGTGGCGAAACTGGTAACTACCTACTCGCATCTGAGTGATTCCCTCATATCAATTGCAATGTTGTCAAAGGCTTGGTGATTTCCATATTACACCTAAGGGTGGTGTAATTAGAAAGTTCATGATGGATGTTGGGCTTGGGGATATTTTGGTAAATGCAAACATTGTGAAATGAAGAAGTTGACACTCTCCTTATGGCCGATGTCTATTACAGTGCTGCAGACAAGACAAAGGAATTCAATGTTGAGAGAATTTGTATTCAGTCTGATGATACAGAATGTTGCTTGCAAAGAAGGATGAGAGTTAAAAAGAGCTCTTAAAGTTTCTTATGTCCTTCATTTAGGTAGCATTCTAAATTACTATAGTAATCTCAGAGTGCAATACCTATTTGAAAATATATCAAAGATGGGTGTCTCGTACCAGTACTCACAAACAAACCTTCGTAGCAACACAAAAAACATATGTCCTTGGCAATTCGCAAATGTAAAATGGCAAAAGGCAGAGAAAATTGCAAATACAAGGTTTCTAGTCAAGGGTGTATTGCTACTTGTCCATGTGGCAATAAACAACATAGTGAACATCGTTGGACAATAGTAGTACTGACAATATTTTAGGATGAGTTTCTCAGAACTATAAAAATTATTTAGAGATCTTACATATCTGAATATATAGCTTGTGGTGTCATGAGCAACTTAGACCTCTAAAACGACTTAAATGCAGCTCTAACATAGAACCAGGGAAATTGGAAAAATCAGGCTGTTGCTAGATTAAGTTCGAGAGTTGTGAACAATCATGTTTATATATAGACATATCCTTTGATTCATATGAGAGTAAACTGTGAAATTACAAAATTATTCCGCACTATTCTATTTTTGAGTAATCTTTTAAAAATATGGTAGTGTAGTAATTTTATCCCTAATATGTATATTTGTGTTTAAAACACATTTCCCATGCTTTGAAGATAACAAGACACATAATTGAATATATATAACCTTGACGGTAATTAATTTGTATAAGGCAGTTATAAAAGCGGTTGGGAACAAACTCCCGGACCGATATTAGTACTCCTAACTGTTAATGATTGGGTGGAAGGAAGGGGTAAGGGTGGAAGGAAGGGGTAAGGGTGGAAAGAAGTAAATGTAAATATATATCAGTTAATTAATTATGGTATTTTACATAATAGTTTGATTGAACGTAAAATGGAAGTCCAGTGAGTGTGTTCCAACAGTATGTAGCAAAAAGATATGGAACAGAGGGTATGATCCTTAGCATGGTGTGAGATTAGGAAAGACAAGCATGCTATTGGTTGACAGTGACATGTAGGTGGAGCAATAACAGGCATGAAAAATAGCACAGAGTGTGTGGTATATTCCTCCCATAAATTTCCTAATGAAGCATTAGGGTTTATTTATATGATGAATATAAACCACAGAAAAGATAAGTTTTGTGTGTGAGATATATATATATATTATAAAATCATAACTTATAATTTATATTACATAATATGACGTAACAATGGTTGTGATTACGTAATAACAATTACCTTGATGGTAATTAATTTGTATAAGGCAGTTACAAAAGCGGTTGGGAACAAACTCCCTCTGAGTTCAACTAAAAATATAAACAACTATTGCTGAAAGTGAAAAATTGGTCATTTTGCCCATTTATGTGTCTTTTTCATTTGATTTTAGTGTGCTAATAAATGTGCTAAACTTTTGAAAAGTTTAAGAATATTAACATGCAATAATAACATTTGTGTTGGTTTTCTTATTAAATGGTGGAGGGCAGATCTTAGACCTCTAATAAAAACATTGTTTGTCTTACATACATTTTCTTTAACTTAAATCAAAGAAGACAGATTCTAGATAGAGAATAGCTACAATTTTGTTAAAGTTTATGATTTGAAATCACTTTTTCATTTACATTATAAATGGGGCAGGGGAGACATGAAAGCTCTAATATCAACATTGGTTTTCCAATATACATTTTTTATATCCTAAATGGAAGAAGACATGAACAAGAACAGATCTGACCAAGAATGCACCAACCAGTCAGCATAAAACTCAATATAAAGGGACCTATATGTTATTGCTGAAAGCGAAAATGGTAAAAAAGCCATGTTTTGTCCTTAAATGTCTCATTTCTAGGCACTAGTTTACCAATAAAGGTTCAAAAATATCTTTAAAAGATTAAATAACACATAATATTGATATAGAATAGCTAATTTAACTAAAGTTTATAGTTTCAAGTTATTTTATATTTTCATATTTTTCTTATAATTTTTCATTATAAATGGGGTAGGGGAGATCTGAAAGCTCTAATATGACCATTGGTGGTGCACTATACATTTTCTATACCTTAAATGGAAGAAGACATCAACAAGAACAGATTTGATTAAGATTGCAACAACCAGTAAGCATAAAACTCAATATATGAGGAACTATATGTTACTGCTGAAAGCTAAAATGATTTTTAAAAATGCCAAGTTTTGTCCTTAAATGTCTCATTTCTAGGCACTAGTATACCAATAAAAGATTCTGAAATATCTGAAAAACTTTAAATTATACATAATATTGATATAGAATAGATACAACTTTGTTAAAGTTTATTTATTCAAGTTATTTTACATTTTCATATGTTTCAGTAATTTTTCATAATAAATGGGGTAGGGGAGATCTGAAAGCTCTAATATGACCATTGGTGGTCCAATATACATTTTTTGTATCTTAAATGGAAGAAGACATGTACAAGAACAGATTTGATCAAAATTGCAACAACCAGTCAACATTAAACTCAAGATATGAGGAACTATATGTTACTGCTGAAAGCGAAAATGATCAAAAGTGCCAAATTTTGTCCTTAATTATCTTATTTCTAGACACTAGTACACTAATGAAGGTCCTTAAACATCTGAAAAACATTAAATAATACATAGTGTTAATATTAAATAGCTATAGTTTTGTTTGAGTTGAACATTTTAACTTTTTGTAGTTTCCATTTTTAGCCAATTTTTTTCTAAAAAATTCAAGGTATGTCTTCTTCGGACCAATATTTAGATATGTTCGCAAGAGTTATATGCTTCGCAGGCGAAATCCCTTAAGGAGGACACCCTAATAGAATGAAAAATACAGAGAAACTCCATCCAGCTCACAAAGTCATTTTTTGCACAATTCTCACACCTTCCACCCCGAGTATAGTGCTTTTCCCCATATTTTATACCTTACCTTTTTGAATAACATCTATTTTTATCTTCTGAGTGAGGGAGGGGTGAATTTGGGTTAATATGAATATATAATTTAAATTTTATAACACTGATATGAAGGAGTCCATGTACATATGGTTTTAGTGCATACTCCCTTTATAATTTGTTCTCAGTACCTTTGTAAAGGGCAATATATATCTTCGTTCTCTCAGCTTTCGTCAGTCAGAACGCAGAGAAGACCGAGCATGCCAAGATGAGCTATATGTCAAATCAGAATATGCATGTTCAAATTCAGTATAGTAGTAAATGACACCATATCATGCATGTGGTCACTTATATAATGCTGTCATTTTAGCACTTTAATAGCTACTTTATCTCCCCATGTTGTTTTCTCAACAGGTGCTAAGTTCTAATTTTGGCTGCTTTGGTCAAAATGTGTCAACATGTTATCAATTGGGTTTTCAATTTTCAATCGGGTGGAATGTGATTTTTGAATTTTCATTTGGAGCCGGCACCCATTAGCTTATGCTTGGGAGACCAGTATTTAGATTCCAGTAAATATGCCTAACCCTGCTTTACTCCAAGATAAAAGCATCCATCAACATTTCCATCATTGACATTTTTATAATTTCTATTTCCAGACTCAAGTACAAGAAGATCTACTAGGACATTCACTGATTCAGGATTGTACAATTGATTGTAGAATAAACAATACAAAATACTATTGAAGATTTGAACAAACGGCACAAATGGATTAATTCTTTTGCTGAACATGGCTTGATTTACTTTCAACGGGAAGTTGACTAATGGAACATAACAGTGACTGAGTTCATATAGTAGATATATGAGATTATGAAACTAATAGTCATAGAAGACTCTCCGCTGTGTTCAAAAGTGACGATACCCCAGTTGCTATGGCAACGATAGCTCCCACGAGTACTAGCCTCCCGCCATCTGACAAGAAATCACCACCGAGACGGGTAAGTGATATCATTATTATTATATCATAAGAATTCTCTTTATCAGTAGTTCAACTTCACTCACTCAAAAGGGAGCTTCGTCAAAAAGTCACTCTTTTGAAGTTTTCAATAAATCTCTGAACTCACCAAGCGAATCAGAGATCGTCGTCGAAATATGGACGACTCTCTATGTAGGGTCATTTTCTCTGACAAATCGCATAATTATCGTGCACACCTTTAGCACTGTTCGTTCAAGCTCCCTGATTGGTTGAGAATGGCCTAGCGCAGTAGGTGTGAAATGATGTAAGGCCCGAGCTGTCACAGGCATCGGTCATGGGGGCGGGGCTTCTAAACTGTAATATAGTCTATACTAGGCAGAGGGTAGTTTATAACTAGACTCTACGCGCAGGGTACTATAAGTATTGGCTCTCTGATATTCTATCTAAAGTAATATTCTTAGATTACTTGCCATTTTGCAAATCAGTTAATCACTGCATATCAAATTTTGGTAATTCCCCCTAGATATTCCTATTTTGATATTTATCCCTCTACAAACATGATGAATGATAAACCTCTCCCTTCTCCACTAACACAACCACATATGTTTCTGATCTCGAAACTGAAAATTCTTATATATGAGTGTAAGAATGCCAACACATTCATTATAAATAAACCTTTGAATAGTCTCTCTGAGGAATAAAGTCAACTATGTTTATGTCTGTTATATACAATAAATAAGTGCAGAAATTATAGCTCTCCAGGCTATTAAAACATATCACCAATGGGGGAACGGGATGCCTATGTTTCATCAATAAGTTTGGAATGTGAACAAGTTGAGTTAATTCAATGCTTACACAGAACGATTGCCATATGAAGACAGTGTATGATTTAGAATGCTATATATATTTAGTTGTATTGTTAAATCTTGCTCAGGTCAGACATCCAAACTCCAAAGATCAATTTTATTAGAAATACTGTACTTATGCACATGTATGAAGGCCACCTTGCAGTTGTTTTCACTCTGAACTTTCATTGATGTGTTTTGTTTGAGAGTTTAGTTCACTGATGGTCTCTTGGTATCAGGGTACTCCCAAGCATGTTTTATTCAATTCTGAATTCTCACTGACTCTTAATCTCTCATCTATGTTGATTTGTTGAGAGATTTAATTATAGGATCTGATCTAACTTTATTCTGCTCTATAGAATGCATCTAGCATCCGAAAGCTGTAATCTATTCTATTGTTTTGATAATATGTCTTTTGTATTGTATCTTGGTTACCGCCATATTTAGCGAGCAATACCTCATTGGTAAATTCCATATTTTACGTATTTTACACTCGAAGACAGGGCCAGAAACCCTTCCTTGGAGGAGCCCTGTGTTCTTTTCTGTGCACGGGTACATAGACATATAAGTACACACCACAGCCTTTTTAAATGAGTTGTGAACCACTCAGTCAAACACCCAGAATTACATAACGCACAAACAAACTTGTCTGAACCGGGAATCGAACCCGAGGCCAAGCGATAGTGATAACCTTGACTCTGCCACTGAGCAATAGCGAGTGGACTAAAATAATATCTAATTAAAATATCATTACTTATTCCATAGTTAGCATGATATTCATAGGATAACATGTGAAAATAAAAACAGTATTTTTGTAATCAGTGGTAAAATATGATATTTTTGACAAATTTTCACTTAACCATAACATACGGTTTTTTAGCCATGACATACGACGTCGTATGCGATGGTTTATGGATTTTTGCTACTTCAGACTCAAAACGAGGCTAAGTGTCAACATCGCCGGATCGTTTGGAAATTCGAATTAAATAACTTAATTTCCGACGATTCTGATGATGAATCTAACTATGGAATAAAAAGAACATCCTATGATTTACTCGTGATATGATTTTAATCCACTCATGGATATTGATATCTGCACTCTCTCGCTACGCTCGCTCGTGCAGATATCATATCCATTCGTGGATAAAAATCATATCACTCATAAATCATAGGATATCCTCTATTTATCCTACACTTAGTGTACTAAATGTATAATAACATGAAAAAATAAATTTGATATTTATTGGCAAAATGAATATCCGGAGGATATCGTAACGATATACTCCGGGCGGAGGATATCGTGACGATATACTCCGGAAAACCCAATATGCGGAGGATATTGTGACGATATACTCCGCTTGTTGATTTCCCGCCAAATTGACTCTATTTGGCATGGAATTAATTTTACAATGATATTATACATTCAGTACACTCATTGTAAGTGTAGGATAATAAGAACATCGTATGATTTTTTCAGAATATCATTTTAATCTACTCGGTGATGTTGATATATGCACTCGTTCGCTTCGCTCTCTCGTGCAGATATCAATATCACCTCGTAGATAAAAATGATATTCCTCAAAATCATAGGATATCCTATAAATCTCCTTTCTTTATATGAATATCAATCTGTGCTTCAATTAAAGAGTTAACCATTGTAATACATGATGACTTTTTATGTATTGTAGGAGAAGATAACCTCATCAAAGACCCCACAGTCTGTGAAACAAGAAACCAAGAACCTAAAGAGGAAGCTATTCACCCCTGGGTCAGCATCTGAAGATGAAGGTCAGTGAATCTTTAATTCATACATATGCACATAAAGTGAAACCACAGTGAAACCTGTATATCTGAACACCTCCCTAATCTGAACACCTCATAATGTGAACACTTCTTCTTGGTCCCACTTTGTTATCTCCCATAGACTCACATGTTGAGAAAACCTTGAAATGTGAACACCTGCTAATCTCAACACTTTTGGCCAATACCAGAGGTGTTCAGATTAGACAGGTTTTCATGTTGTCATTTATGACATACAATTTAGTCTCCAACATTTTTATTATGTTTGGCAGTTGGCATTCGTTGTCTGTAACAAATGGGAGGTGGTGACATTTTGCATGTTTATGCCTCGTACTTTAACCTTTTCTCGAGTTTTATCTGCAGTAATTACTGGCCTCTAAAGAGCATGTGTTGAAAATGACTTAATTATCTGTATTCAAACAAGATGGGGAACTGTTTGCTTATTTGTTTTGTTTATTCATTTGTTCGTTGGCTCGTTCGTTCGTTCGTTCATTCTTTCATTTGTTTGGTCTGTTGCTGTTATTAGTGCCACAATGAAGTCAGCCAAATATCATAAACATGTACCATAAACCATACATCATTCACCTGAACCAGAGACAATACTCATTAGGCCCCTCAACTTCAGTAAAATCACATGTTTTCGAATCACATGCTGTTGATTGTTGCTAGATATCGCAAAATCATCATTAGGTTATCATTTGTACTTTGTATCATATGGAAAGCACTGATTAGCAATCAGTTAAAAATATTTTTTGCAGGAAATCAGATTTCATATGACCTTTTCAGTTATTCAAGAAATTATTTCTTTTCTGTCCATGTAAATTTGATTCTGTCATATCAGTATCAGTTCGATATTAATGCATTGATTTTTACTTTGTTTATGTTCTAAAATAACAGTTAACAATTTACAAATGTCAAAGCTTTCAGATGAAAATATCGATCATAAAAAACATGTTTTTGAGTTGGGGGGTTATGTATTGTCGATATCTGGGGAGGCTGCAACAGTTGGGGTTTTGAAGGTTTTGAAAGGTTTCAGTGCCAGAACGGTGTCGAAACGGTGCCGGAACAGCGCCGAATGTTTTCGATGCCGAAATGGCGCAGAATTATATTGGCTGTGTATTTGAGTGGACATGTTACAATTTTTTGTCATATATTGTTTGCTATTTTAATCAGGATGTCATATCGGATTATGGTTTTCTATTTGTTAAATAAAAAAGCTTTTATCAGATATTATATTTTGATATATTTCTTAAATCAAAGATTCAAAGTGATGTGCTAGTTAACATAACAGGGGCTTGCAAATCTGAACAATAGATACTTTGTTCATAACCAGGAAGTAACTGTTATATGAACATTTGGCTGACAGTTGGTTTTTTGAATAGTAATATCATAAACTACAACTGTTTCCCATTTAAACTTAGAATGACACATCAAATGACTGTTTTCTTATAACTTGTTTGGTATTGTTGTCATGGTGATCGCATCCTACTTTTTGTCATCACTATTCCAAAATAAGATAATTTTTTAATTATAGAGATAATTCACTTTTGGATGACCATCTTGAATTCTGTTCGTCATATTTGATGTTAAATAACTGGTGTTTGGTGTTCTTATCTGGTTCAGATGCATCTTTTTCTATTCAGTAAGTACTGTATTATATTCATCATTGATGGTTGAAGCTAAAACATTCTATTGATTTATAAATGTATAATCGTTTCATGGCAGGTAGTTAATAGCCTTTGAACTAGGTCAACTATTAAGTGTCGCATCTGGTTTCCTTATTTCCTGTTGTGAATATGATTTTTTAGTTTCTGAAAAGGTCGCACAACATAATATATCTAGACTTCTCCAAAGTTTGCGTTTCCTATTTTAACTGATTCTAGATTATATTTTCTGATGATATTGTCAGATATGATCTATCATCCATGTAATTTATTTGTTTTGAAAACAATATTGTTTTTGTATAGGTAAATAAGAATTCAGGTCTCTTATGAAGAAATGTTGAAAACTGATCATAACATTAGGAGCTTTCATCAAATTTCAAATTGTCAGGGATTTTCAAGTAGGTTCAATGTATAACTAGATCATGTCACCAGGTGAGTTGAACAATTACATTTATATGATATGAAATTGTTCACTTTACCTAAAGGCGTAATCTAGAACTATGATAGTATTTCATTCCCAGAGGAGATTTTCATGTTCATCTTTGAGTGTTTTGTTTTTTTGTTTACATTAAAGATCTGGCATGCAATTTCCTGGGGCCCAGTAAAACAAATATATGATGAAATAGATATACTTTCTGGGGCTTCTACATCAAATATATGATGAACTACATATACTTTCTAGGGCCTCTGCATCAAGTATATGACGAAATATACTTTCTGGGGCCTCTGCATCAAATATAGTATGATGAAATTGATATATTTCTGTGGCCTCTGCATCAAAAATATTTTGAAATATATATACTTTCTGGGGCCTCTGCATCAATTATATGATGATATAGATATCTTTTCTTGGGTGTCCGCATCAAATATATGATAATATAGATATACTCTCTGGGGATTCTGCATCAAATGTATGATGAATTTGATATATTTTCTGGGGCCTCTGCATCAAATATATGATGAAATATATATACTTTCTGAGGCCTCTGCAACAAATATATGATGAAATAGATACACTTTCTTAGGCCTCTGCATCAACTATATGATAAAATAGATATATTTTCTGGACCCTCTGCATCAAATATGATATACTGTTTACAGAGAGGTGTTATCTTGGGCTTATATATCCATCATATATGAGATCAGTATTTCAGTACTCAAAACAAATTGAAATATACTACATGTTTTATTATTTTCTTGATATCAAAATTCACAATTGGGCACAAAAAAATATTTTTCATTGGGGTGAACCAAATGGTGAAACAATTGTTGATAATAGTGAGTATATCCAGCTAGTTATGATGAATGTGCCTGTGAACATGTGTGAAATGAGGAAGTTTCTTATTTATTGTGGAAGTTTCTCACAAGTATGTGTTTCACTATCTGCCACATATGAAGAAGTCATGGTGACCCCTAGCAGACCCTAACCACATGTCACCATGACCTCTCCAAGTACAGTGAAACCTGTATAAGTAGAATGCCCTTGCTTATGCTGAAATAGTGTTCTCTTTAGCAGTTCAAAGATAATTGTTTGAATAACATTAAGTTAATGGGTCACAGAACTGAAATGTTCTAATGCTCAGTCATGTGATCTACAGCAGCCGTACAGCAGCTGTAGTCTCCCAAAATAGAGCAATATATGCAGCATAAAATATAGGGATAAGCAGTATGATGTAGATTTTCTCTATAGATTTGGTAAAGCTACGGCTCTGTATGACTGCCACAGAGCAAATGTGACTGAGGCTTTACTAAACTCTTCTTAGGTGTTCAAGTTTCCTGAGTTTCAGAGCCCATTACATAAAATGTCGATGAAGCTCTCTTTTAAGATGCAAAATCAACCTATTTGAAATGGTAGCATTCAAGTTGAGCAGTTACAGATAATTTATGACAAATTATGGCAGACTTTTTATCTACTCACTCTGATGTTTTATATTTTTTATTATGATAATGATAAGGCTATCTAGAGAATGAAAGATTAAAAACTCAATATATCCATTAAGTACTTCCGGTGTGTTAAAGGGTCGGGTTGATCTCAACATTTAACAACAATTGGCAGGAATGTTAAAGACAATGCAGTTATTTATCATTTTCCCTTTTAGAACTATTTTTTTTATTGTGTTACCACCCCCTGTGGTGACATGTTTTATAGTCTCCAATTTTTGTTGGTATTGTTTGGTGTTCAGCAGCCGGCATCTGTAACCAATGGCAAGTAGTGACATTTTGCATGTTAATGCCTTGTTAAAACTTGGTATAAAGCACAATGAACACATTCTATTATTTTTCAAGTAAATTTAAGATATGAAGTGCGATACTCAGATGTCTCTATTGAGTTGAAAAATAGTTCAGTGTCAAAATGACATAACATTGTCTCACAATGTAACCTAACCTGAATATTACTTCCCAGTGAGACAATGTCATACCTTCAGGGGTTTCATGGAAATTTTTGACATCAGAAAAAACAGGAAAGCAGCCAGCGTCTGATGATTAAAAGTTAAGTTGGCCCTGTATCTCCCCCATTTTCTTTCTAAAGTAACAATATGTTGGCTAAATGGGATTATTTAAATAAAACACATTAAACTTGGGTTTCACTGAAATCTTTATAATGAAAAGAATAAAAAAGGAACATTCCCCAACCTGATGATCTATCACTCACGTAAAATGTAGTAGAAAATCTTACTCTCTGATTGCAGATAAGAAGCAGACCCCAAAGCGCAAGAAGAGTGTATGCATGGAGGGCAGTCTGACCCCTGGACAGGGGACCCCCAAGACAGGATCGGGGCGGCTCACAGTTCCACTCTCAGAACGACAACAGATGGCGCTTCTCATGCAGATGACAGCAGAAAAAAATGCTCCAGGTAGATCTTAAAGTCTATTGCTAAATTTACCTTGATAAAGAGTTTGACTGGGAGATTCTAAAGGAGAACTTCTATGAGGTACCCTTTGAAAAGAGTTCAACTTCGAATCTCTGAGGGAGACCTTCACTGGCTACCCTTTGAAAAAAGTTTAACTTTGTACCTCTGAAGGAGGGCCACATCATAGAATTTTGGTCTCAGGGTGATTCAATTGAATATCTTGAAACCCAAAAAGTATTCAAAGATGAATGCAAGAAGGAAATGTTAAACCAAAAGCCCATCATCATCCATATGTTGTTCAGTGAGACAGAACACTCAGTACTGACCAAGATTTAAAACATATCTTACATTTTAACAAGGGTCATTCCCATAAATCCATCCATTTATGACATATCAATCTTAGATTTCTAATTTTAAGAAATGGATTGTTTGAACTAGTACGAAATAAATCTGAATTTCTTGACATTTTGACATGTTCTTTTAGTTAATCTAAGAAATTATCTTTCTGAATTCCTGTAAAATTAGATCTCTCATTTTCTAATTCAATTCTGTCTCATTATTCTCAATCCCAAATTCACTGATACGTATCAAATACTTGTAATATTTTGAATCAGCTTTAATAAGCCATACTAAGATGACATCTCATGCTCATATCAAACATCACGCAACTGAGGCAAACTAACATGGCATTACAAGTTCAACAGAAAAGAATTGACAAAAAATATTAGCCCTTTAAAATGCATTGCTGTACCCAGATATAGCCCTTTGAATCAGTATTTTGAAGGTTTATTTTTGTAAGTATGAAATTAGAAAGATTAAAGCTAGAGGTTTCTTGTCTTGGGATAAAATTAGATTTCTTGTTTTATTTTTAAGATATCGCTGCGATAAAGATACTTCAAAGAGTAGAAAGGCTACTCATGGCATAGAAATAGAAACACTTAAAATAGCCGCTTATATAAATTGGGCTCTCTATGTAACATGTTTCATCTCAACATCTGTTTTTCGTAAGGATGGATCCATATATTATTGACAAATGATGTCAGTACTTTTTGTGAATTTTGTAGAAAGTGAATCCATGGATTTCTTGTTTTAATCAATGTGTTCATAAAACTCACTACTTCTCTCATCAAAATATGTCCATATTAACTGGATGGAGTGATGAACTATTGGAGCTTTTATCTGATATCCTCAATAACCCACATTTAAATTACCCATAGTTACTTACATTTGAATTACCCAAAGTTACCTACATTTAATTGACCCATAGTTACCTACATTTGAATTACCCATAGTTACCTATATTTCAATTACCCATAGTTACCTAAATTTAATTTATCCATAGTTACCTTCATTTGAAATACCTATAGTTACCCACATTTGAATTACCCATAGTTACCCACGTTTGAATTACCCATAGTTACCCACATTTGAAATACCCATAGTTACCCACATTTGAATTACCCATAGTTACCCACATTTGAATTACCCATAGTTACCCACATTTGAATTACCCATAGTTACCTACATTTGAATTACATTTAATTGACCCATAGTTACCCACAATTGAATTACCCATATTTACCCACATTTGAATTACCCATAGTTACCCACATTTGAATTACCCATAGTTACCTACATTTGAATTACCCATAGTTACCTACATTTCAATTACCCATAGTTACCTACATTTAATTTACCCATAGTTACCTTCATTTGAAATACCCATAGTTACCCACATTTGAATTACCCATAGTTACCCACATTTGAATTACCCATAGTTACCCACATTTGAATTACCCATAGTTACCCACATTTGAATTACCCATAGTTACCCATATTTGAATTACCCATAGTTACCCACATTTGAATTACCCATAGTTACCCACATTTGAATAACCCATATGTACCAAGTATTGTCTATGCTTAACAATAAGTAAAAGAATGACGGACCACAACACCAAAAATAATTATGGGTAATCCTAGAATGGCTGATTGAGGAAAAACAATTACAGTAATGGCTTATTAAGTTTCCGTTGTTAACATTTGAGTTGCGTGGCATTTAAATTTTACTTTCTAATGAATTTCTCCAGAACCGTCATCGACGCCTACTTCACCGAGCCACCCGATGCCTGCATCCAGTATCAAGAAAACTCCACTTGAGAAGCGGATTCACAAACGTAACGAGCGTGGTGAAACAGTGCTCCACCTAGCGGCAATAAGAGGCGATTGTAAGCAGACTAAGAAGCTAATTAAAGCTGGTGCTGACGTGAATGCCAAAGATTTTGCGGGTAATTATAGTGGATTTATATTATGATTTGATTTTGAATCGTGTCTTATCCATAGCAGTAGAATGAAACATGCTTTTAACTTTTATTTTATAAATAGATGTCACTCGTGTTGTAGCATGATGTTCAAATCTCTCCAGCACTGTACTACAATCCATTTTAATATTGGTTTGTGCATCAAAAAACCTAAAAAATAAACAAGCAAAGACCACAGTGCAATGATATGGAAAAATACATTCATATTTTACATGCTAAATGTTTGTATATCTTGGATTGCTTATGGTTTGGTTAATAAAATGTGTGACCTCTTTATTTTGATGCTTCTCTGTCATGTACGTTAAATAACATGTCCGAAACTTCCAAAATTACAAGAGGCCACAGGTTTATCATCCTTCAAGATCAGTCCTTCACTGCTTCCATAGCAGATCATGTAATGCAATGAATTACTCTTGGGCCAAGGATGCAGGTTTATTGCACATAAAACTAATTTATCTGAAATATACAAAAATTTTGCTTTTAGAATATAATTGTATTTTTACATATATTATTACATTGTGGTTTTCATTGCTTTTTATTGTTACGTTTTATTGACTCACAACCCAACTGAAATGGACTATAAATATCTAGGAATTGGCAATAGAATTAAGTATAATACATAACAAGATATTTTTAGTTCTAGAGTATGAGGAAAATTGATTATGTCTTCTATATTTATTTATGTCTTCTATAAAGCCATGCATGCATTTGGCGATTGAAGATAATTTTGTAAATGTAACTAATGATGATAATTGATAAATAAATAAATAATGATAACAAATAAGTAAAAATAAGTAAGAAAATTGATTACTTTGAATAACTGATGTTCACCTATTTAACACATGTGGTGTTTTATAATTGATAAGAAGTACATTTGCGTGATTTGTATGAGCGATGTTAAATGTCATTTCCGAGACAGATTATGTTTACTCGATCAGAATTCCTTATGAAACAAAGGTCACATTGATCGTGGATTTTATTCAGTACTGTATATTCAAGATAGCATCTCAGCCTCTGCTTAGAGATTGTATCCGAATATTGATGGTTTGTAAAAAGTGAATATTGATTTCAGTTATGGTTTAACCCCTCTCTCCCATTCTGATTTATCTGAATCTTCCTTAATCTAAAGCTTGTGTATAGTATTATGTTCAATAGAGACTGTGGATGGATCTCACAATATAATGTCTCTCTTCTTCATATCATAAAACTATGAAATGGTCATTTCCCTATTTGGCTTGAATTTTTCAAAAATGATGCTGTCAGTTTCAGTCACCCCTCTGATTTTATTATTCTACAACTGCTATTTTGATATCATCTCTGACTGAATGCAAAGACAGCGTTTTATTTATGCTAATCTTGATTGATCCTGTCTTAACCATATGAGAAGCTTTGAGGATCTTTTAGTGTTTCATCTTTGTAATGAGTTCTTGTTAATATCCTGTATGTGTCATACAGGGGACATATCAATTCTGTTCATGTTTGGAGATGTCACATTATTCCAAGTGTGATGCATCAGATCCTCTTTAAGTTCTGCTGAGAATTGTTGATTAGAATTTCTGAAAATAAGAAAAGGGTATGGGCAAAATGAATGGAAACAATGGGAAAAATGAATGAAAACAATGGGCAAAATGAATGAAACTATGGGCAATATGAATGGAAACAATGGGTGAAAAAATGAGAACAGACATTATTGAAAATTATGATTTGAACACTTAGATAATCGTGAAATTCCTTGAAACAACAGGATATTTTAGTGAATCCAACCGTAATAATCCCCTGCTTATTATTTATTATTTCATGGTGAAATTAATTTAAACTTGAGAGGGGTTTCTCAAGACAGCCTGGGTCATCACCAGGTCAACATATGTTTCCTGCATGCTTCAACTGTTATGTAAAATTCTTGTGTCTGGCTGTTATCTGCTTATTCTGCTACTGTCCTTGCAGCGGACAACATGTGCTAGTTATAATGCTATATTGCTTGTAATTTTTTGGCTCTTTTTGCCTTGGATAAATAACCAAATAATGGAATTTGAAGACTTCCTGGAGAAGTGGTGCCTATCACCAGACACTATCAAGACACTCAGTGACAATGGATTTACCAACATGATGTCACTAAAAAGTATGGCATTGCCCGATGACCTGAAGGCAATGAAAATCAAGCCAATAGGACAATATAGACTGTTGGAAAAAGGCTTGACCGTCCTGCAAGCTGGACAAGGGCCCGAGACCCCTAACTTCGCTGCAGTCGATGAACAAACGTCCTCATCAGCTGAAGAAACCCCCCAGCAGAGACAGGCAGAGGGTGATCGTTCGTTATCCGAAGTTTTACAGCAACTTGGGATAGGTACGCAGGATAACACAACTCAATCTGCCAGTGCAAGCGCTAACAAAGGTGAGCAATATTTAAAGATAGTAGACTTTGTGCGTCCATCTTTGCGTTCCCTTACAAACAAAGACAAAGTCATGGCCGCTGACGGGGAGACCAGCTTGGTAATGCGCACGTCAAGGAAACCTCGACTAGAATCTGTATCTATCGAACAGTGGGGGCAGGCGAGTAACAGAATTTTGACTCATCTAATATCCACCAATACTTCATTTGAGGTAGCAGCCTACTTGGAATACCAAATTAACATCTATGAACTGGCAGAATGCTATACCTGGCAAAGTGTCATTTTGTATGACGATGAATATAGATATCGCCAGGCTTTAAAAGGATTTGCATGGGGGGCAGATATCCCTCATATCTGTAGTACCCATCTGAAACAGAAGGTAACAACAAACAGGAGGGCTGAAAATAATGTAACAGCACCTAACGGCAATGTTATTTGTCGTAACTACAACAAAGGAATCTGCAGGTTTGAAAACTGCAGATTCGAGCATCTATGCCTGCAATGTTTCAAGAAACACCCCCAGAAGGAACACCAGGGAAACTAAAACACCCCTCTCACGGACCTATTAACTCACCCCTCAATTATAGTAAATGGGAAATGAACTATCTGAAGATAATGACAAGGACTTTATTTTAAATGGTATTTATAATGGATTTCGAATAATTGATGAGGATGCCTTCCCAACCTCTGCAGAAATGAACAATTATAATTCAGCTATTTGTTCTGAGAACAAGTGGAAAGTGGAAAATCAAATAATAAAAGAAATTGACAATAATCGTTATATCAAAGTGGATTATAAACCAACGATCATTAGTGCATTAGGGTCAGTGCCAAAACCCAATTCGGAGGCTATACGATTAATACATGACTGCAGTCAACCGCAAGGTAGTGCTGTCAACGATTATGCTACAATTAAATCTTATAGGTATACCACAATTAATGATGCAACAAAGGCTCTACATCCTGGATACTGGATGTGCAAAGTCGATTTAAGTGAAGCGTATCGATACGTTCCTATACACCCCCAAGACTATCAATATGCTGGATTAAAATGGAAGTTCAACAATAGTAAAAAATATGATTACATCATTGATACAAGACTTATGTTTGGGGCTCGCAAATCGCCCGAAATATTCCATCGCATCACTCAAAGTATAAAACGCGTAATGCAGAGAAAGTACAACTGCAGTGACATCTATGTTTACTTGGATGATTTTTTGATAATTGCACAAACTCAAGAGGAATGCATGGAGCATTTAAATTCATTAATTAGACTGCTTCGTGACCTCGGCTTTGGAATTAGTTGGGGTAAAGTGGATGGTCCGTCTCAGGTATTGACATTTCTAGGGGTGGAACTAGACTCGCAAAAAATGAAAATGCTGTTACCACAACAAAAACTGCTAGACTTTAAAAATTTGCTAAATCAATATCTGCTACTTAAACGAGCTACACGTACCCAGCTAGAATCGCTAGCTGGGAAGCTAAGTTGGGCTGCACAAGTCATCCGTGGCGGTAGAATTTACACCAGGAGAGTTCTTGATGCTATATGCAAGCTAAAACGAAATAAACATAAATACAAAATCGGGAAAGAATTCAAAGAGGATATTAAGTGGTGGTTGAACTGTATTGACTCATTCAATGGCATAGCGCTTATATTGGACAGTAAGCCTGTTGTTGACATTGAAGTTGATGCTTCAAATACAGCATCTGGCCTCTTTTATCAAGGAGACTGGATGTATGTAAATTTTGCTATGGACGTACCTCAATACAAAGACTATCACATTAATTATAAAGAAGTCCTCTCAGTATATTTTGCCATCCTTAGATGGAAACATGTACTGGTGAATAAACGCATTCTGATTCATACTGACTCTACAGTGGCCATGACTATTGTTAATCGGGGTACAACAAAACATCCTGGTATAATGGAAATATTGAGACATATGTTTTGGATATCTGTTCAGTATAACTTTGACCTTCGAGCCGTTCATGTCCCAGGGAAACTCAATATTCTACCAGATGTAATTTCCAGACTAAATGAGCCCAAAAACTTTCTAACATTAGAGGCTATTTTGTATCCAGGAATTTTCCCTCATTCAGAGTTATCTGCAATGATTCTTCATCACCATATGACTCTAAAGTCCATGCTTTTTCTTCTTCCTCAGATCAAAGAGTGGCACAGCTGGAAAATAGCCTGGACAGGAAAATCATAGAGCTTAGGGGATATACCTACACAGACAACACCAAGCGCACTTATGCAGCACATCTTGCTAAATATCTAGACTTCTGCAAGTTAATGGGATATTCACCAGCACCTGTTTCACAGTCTATTTTGCTTCGTTATGTGGCATTTCTTAGTGACCACATTAGACCATCATCAATTAAATTATATCTTAACATTATCAGGATATTACACTTAGAAATGGGTTTACCAAATCCACTTCAAAGCAACTGGCCCTTAGACACACTGCTTATGGGCACTAAAGAAACTTGGAGTACCCCCTAGGCAGAAGGCTGCCATTATGCCACGGCACTTGCTGGACATTAAGAAACAATTAGATCTTTCTAACTATGTTC